CTGCCTTTCCAGATAAGGCCAGCTTCCCTGTGAGGTGTCTCTATAGCAACCTAGATGTTTCCAATACTCTTGAATTCTTGCAATTATTTAATTTTTCATTTGATTCCCACTAGACTATTAATTCCCAGATAGCAAGGAGTGTCAATTCTATGTCCCTAGTGCCTAGTTATGCACCTGGGATTAATGTAAAAAAACATTCAAATCTATGTTCTCTGACCAGTAGGATAACAGTAGAGTTAATTCTGCATCTACTGTAGTCTACTCCGGCCCAAATCTAGTAGCTGAAGGCAAGACATGTTAGCCCCTGTAAAAGTCTAATCTTGGGCCAAACCTCATTCAGCCTCCCCTCTGCTCTGTTCAAGTGGTCATTGTGGTTCAAGATAGTCCAAAAATTCAGGCACAATCCTCTCTGTGCTGTGATGAAGGAGGTGGAGGAGAAAGAGCAGGAGTGGGAGGAAAAAAGGAAAGGAAGATGGAAAAGGAACAGGAAATCATACCGGCCTTAGAATTGGGAGGTCCCGGAGTTCTACAGTGTACAGTGAAGAGAACAGCAGCTGGTGAACTGTAATACTTTGATAATAAAGCAGTTCTGTTAAAATCGCCATTTTCCTGAGCCTTTGGCTTTTTAGGTCCAGAATAAGAATTCGCCTCTCCCTTTCTGTGCTCACCCAGCAGCTTGCACATTTCTCTGCCACAACATATCCTAGTTATCAAAGGGTTCCATCTGCTAACTAGATGGGGATGCTGGAAGGCAAAGTCTATGTTTTCTTCATAGATATACCTCAGGGCCTATGGAAAGGGGTTGCCACACCTTCAAGGCTTAGTAAGTGTTTTTCAGATACACTGTAGATGGACATGAACATCCTGAAGAGGACAGGGTACCCAAGACAGCTGGGTGTAGCTGACTTTAGATGACCAGTTATTCAAGGTTGTACCCGTATGTGCCCCAACTGGAGATCGAACTCAGGTATGTACCCTGACTGGGAATCGTACTTGCAACCTTTTGGTGTAAAGGACAATGCTCCAACCAACTGAGCCACCTTGCTAAGGCCTAACAAAGTATTTTAAATACAGTAGGTTCTGAATTTATATTTGACTTAAATGCTCCCGAAGGGTGCTGGAACAACTTTGCTAAGGGTTGTCACTCTCTAGTCCTCTTATCTTGCTAACCAAATCCAGAGCCAGGCCATGGAAGAATTATTCTACTTCATGGTTATCCAAAAAGTGCTCATGAAATTAGCAGTTTCCCACGGGACACCATTGTATTTGATGCACAATATGGCAGACCCACCAAGGAACTCAACTGCTTGGTTTTTAGCTTGCTTTCTTCTTTACACCTCAACAGCAGCCTCAGTCCTGTCTGAAACATCTTTGATTCTTTGCCAAATAACCTTTAAATGACCTTGTATTAAAGGCTGCACCCTTAGTAGATAGGTAGGGTACTTCAAGATCACTGGAACATCATGGATTGTACTTTTCCCCCAAAAGTGCCTATAATTTCTTATATTCAATTGATATAGAAAAATGAGCTTTAATAACCTCAGAGTATGGTACTGGCAGTAGCCACAGGTAAGAGTTTATGAATATAATTTTTCCTTGAGGCCAAGAAAATAATGGAAACTTTATTTTCTCGGTAACAAATGGTGATGTTCCTGAATGGAAAAGACATACTAACCTCA